CATTTATTTGGTGGGGAGGGCTCTCAAACATATTGTGTTGGATTGAGAAACGGCAAGAGAGAAATATAGTAGAATTGTCTGATTGAGGATTGAGGGCCTTAAACAGTGTTTTTTTGTTTGTTTGTTTGTTTGTTTTCTGAGACAGGGTCTTGCTCTGTTGCCTAGGGCGGAGTGCAGTGGTGTGATCTTGGCTCATGGCAACCTCTGCCTCCCAGGTTCAAGCAATCCTTCCACCTCAGCCTCCCAAGTAGCTGGGATTACAAGCATGTGCCATCGCACTGGACTAATGTTTGTATTTTTAGTAGAGACAGGGTTTCAGCATGTTGGCCAGCTGGTCTGGAAATTTTGACTTCCAGCGATCCACCTGTCTTAGCCTCCCAAAGTGCTGAGATTACAGGTGTGAGCCACTGCACCTGACCAAGAGTTTTGGTTTTATCCAACTCGGAATAGGAACTATTCAGCTACTGATTTTTTTTAAAAAACTAACTTGTATTGCATAATCAAATTTTAGAAAAGTAATTTTCCTGAAATGTATAGAATAGACTTAAAAGATTATTTGAATAACATAAATATAATTGAAATGAGTATGTTGAGAATTAAAACGCTGTTTAGTAAGATCCACACCAAAATATATGTGCAAGGTTGGAATCTATCACTCTTTGTAACTAATGCCAAGAATCAACATCTTTGGAAAATACTTCAAAAGCGTTTCAATGAACCTGGAGCAGTGGCTCTTGCCTGTAATCTCAGCACTTTGGGAGGTCAAGGTGGGTGGATCACTTGAGCTCAGGAGTTTGAGACTACCCTGGGCAACATGGTGAAACCCCGTCTCTACCAAAAATACAAAAAAATTAGCTGGGCATGGTGACAAGCACCTATGGTCCCAGCTACTCAGGAGGCTAAGGTGGGAGAATCTCTTGAGCCTGGGAGGTTGAGGCTGCAGTGAACCGAGATTGCACCACTGCACTCCAGCCTGGGTGATAGAGTGAGATCCTGTCTCAAAAAAAAAAAAAAAAAAAAAAGCCTAAAACAACAACAACAACAACAACAACCACCACCACCAATAAAAAAAAATAAAAAAAGAATTTCAAGCCTGGTGAGGTGGCTCACACCTCTCTGTAATCCTAGCACTTTGGGAGGCCAAGGCGAGAGGATCACATGAGTTCAGGAATTCAAGATCAGCCTGAGCAACAGACTTAGACCTCATCTCTACTAAAAATAAAAAATTAGCCAGGTGGAGTGGCAGGCACCTGTAGTCGCAGCTACTCAGGAGGCTGAGGCAGGAGGACCCCTTGAGGCCAGGAGGTCAAAGGTGCAATGAGCTGTGTTTGCACCACTGTACTCTAGCCTGGGCAACAGAGTGAGACCGTGTCTCAAAAAAAAAAAAGAGTTTTAGCTAACCAAAATTTTAGTTAACTAAAATTTTAGTGAGACGGGAGAAATAAATTTTGAGATCTGTTGTACAGCAGAGTGACTATAGTCAATAATAATGTACTGTATATCTTAGAATAACTAAGAGAGTAAATTTCAAATGTCTCACCACAAAAATGATGTGAGGTGACAGTTATGTTAATTCATTTGATTTAATTACTCCACATTGTATACTTATGTCAAAATATCACAACATACTCCATAAATATATACAATTATGATTGTCAATAAAAATAACATTAATAAAAATAAATAAATTTTCAAAAAGCTTAAAAAAAGAAACTAACACCTAATGGATGAAAATGATTGGTATTAACCTGTTCCTGGTTGCCATTCTTTTTAATTGCTGAGTAATATTCTATTAGGCAAATACAGTTGTCCCTCAGTACTCTCAGGGGGACTGGTTCCAGGAACAACCCCTCCATACCAAAAGCAGTGGTTGTTCAAATCCCTTATATAAAATGGCTTGGTGTGCCATCCTCCTATTATTTTAACTCATCTCTAAATTATTTATAATACCTAGTACAAAGTAAGTGTAATATAAGCAGTTGTTATAGTGTACTTCTATTTGTTTTTATTTATCTCTGTAGTTCTTTTTATTCTTTTTCCCCTAATATTTTTGATCTTCAGTTTTTGAATCTACAGATGTGGAACCCATGAACATGGAGGGCTGACTGTATATCATAATTATCTGCTCTGTTGTTGATACATTTGGAGTTGTTCCTGCTTTTGCTTATTACAAGCAAAGCTTGGCATAAACATTTATGTCCAACTTTTTTTTTGGAGGACGTAGATTTCCATTGTCTTGGATGAATCCTTAGAAGTGTTGAGTCATATGTTAGGTGTAGGTTTATAATTATAAAAATTACCAAAATTTCCCAAGGTGATTTTAATATTTTGTAATCCTACCAATATATGTAGGAGAGTTCTGGTTTTCCATATCCTTGTCAATATTTGATGATGTTAGTCTTTTTAATTTTAGTCATTTTTGTGGGCATGAAATGGTATCTCATTTTGGATTTAATTTGTATATTTCTGCTGACTAATGATATATAATACTTTTTCATATGTTTATTGGCCATTTGTAAATTTTCCTTTCTCAAATGCCTGTCCAAGTCTTTTGCCCGTTAAACAAAGTTGTTTGTTCGTGTTTATTGTTGAATTGTAGGAGATGTTTTCTATAATCTAGGAATTGTGTGTATCAGAATATTTTCAGCTATCAAGAGTATTCAGATATATGTATCATCTAGACTGTGGCTTGTCTATTCATTTTCTTAATGGTGACTTAGGATAAGTGGAAGCTTTTAATTTTGATGAAGTCTCTCTTTTTTTTTTTTCTTTCTATTATGGTAAGAGCTTTGTGTATCCTAAGAAATTTTTGCCTACTGCAAGGTAAGAAAGCCATCTTTTAAAAAAGCTATATTATATTTTAATAGTGTCATATATTTTAGCTTTTATGTTGAGGTGTACAATTCATCTTGAATAAATATTTGTGTTTACAATATAAGATAAGAGATGGAGTTCATTTTTTCCTCATTGATGTTACATTACTGGCCATTGACTTTTAAAAAATTGTTTTATTTTATTTGTAATTTAGAATAATTGTTTATATTTATGGGTTACAATGTGATGTTTTGATACATGTATACATTGTAGTATGATCAAATCAGGCTCATTATCTGTCACCTCAAATATTTATCATTTCCTTGTAGTGAGAACACTTGAAACCCTCTCTTTTAGCTATTTCAAAATAGGCAACCTTATTATTAACTATAGTCACTGTGCTGTGCAATAGAACACCAGAGCTTAGTTCTCCTCTCTAACTGAAACTTTATACCTATTAACCAATGTCCCCCTTTTCCCCGTCCACCTTTCTGTCCTCCAGCCACTGGTAACCACCATTCTACTTTCTATTTTTACAAGTTTGTCCTTTTTAAAATTTCACATATAAGTGAGATTATATGGTATTCGTCTCGCTGTGCCTGGCTTATTTCACTTAGCATAATGTCCTCTAGGTTCATCTATGTTGTTGCAAATGACAGAATTTCCTGTTTTTATAGGGCTGAATAGTATTCCTGTGTGTGTGTGTGTGTGTGTGTGTGTGTGTGAGAGAGAGAGAGAGAGATACATAATATATATCCATTTATCTGTTGAAACACTTAAGTTGTTTCCATGACTATTAGAATAGTGCTGCAATAAAAATGGGAGTGCAGACATCTCTTCAACATACTGATTTAATTTCCGTGGGATTGGGGAATTGACTTTTGATAAGCAAACTTAGTATACAATACCTCAAAAGCCAGAATGCCAGTTATTTTGTGTTATAAATTGGCTATCAATTCGTATTTTTGCATGAGATAGTTATCTTGCAGGTAGGCCCTTTGAGAAGACTAGAAGGTAGTCTTGATTGATTCTTCTTGAAACTGAAATTAGAGTAAAGGGACATCCAAACTCTTATCCAATGAACTACAATGACATACAACTCACTCAAGCCTTTCTTTTTCTAAATTTTCTTCCCAAATAAAACAGCAGCAGCAACAACAAAGACAGCAAAACCTTATGCGTTTCTTACAGCTTTATGATGTGTTTCAGTGTCTACAGTGACTGCTGAGTTTGCATCTGTTGCATGTTATATCTTTCTGGTAACATATGGAAGAAGGTTCATATTCATATAAGGATGCTAGATCTAAAACATAATGTGGAATCATGTACAACTCAGTACTACTTGGTAGCAATAACCAGAAACCCACCTTCAAGGAGTGTAAGCAAAAAAGGAATTGAATTAGATTACATAATTTGACAAGTCCAAACGCTGGAGTTGGTTAAAGCAAAATTTGTATTGAAAATTTTTCTTACATAAAAAAGGTAAAACAAATTTGGTAAACCTAATTTTTTTTATAGTGCAAGTAGTTAGCTGTTGTCATTCCAGGAAACCATTATTTGTGGATAGTAAAACTGTTTGGAGACTTTAAAAATACCCTATAACAGTTAAAGGCAGAGCAAATTACTTAAATAAAATTGCGATATTTACCCTAAATAGTAACAGTACAATTTGCATCAGTTCTCTAGGAAATTATCTGCAATTAAAAAAAAAAAAGAACTGAAATTAATCAGTATTAATTTGATGTGTTAACTCAAATTAATCAGTATTTTCTTTGTACACTCAGATTGCAACCTAAGTATTAGTCTATTGAGTTTGGTTTAGTGGATATTTATTCAGGAATTTTACAAAAACAAGGAAACAGACAAGAGGAATAGTGCCGTGCAGATGACCTCGGGGTTCAGGCGACACTCAAATACCTCCTTCTCCTCTGTGTTTATTACCATCTCTTACTTGGTTGACGTTTAGACATATTGCAGGAGATAGTTGAAAAGCAGAGGTTAACTGCATTTCCAGTGGTGTTTTGCCCTGCTGGTATTTGTTCCTCGGTGCTGCTGTGCAAAGGGCCAGAGCTGCATCCAACGGATCTTTTCTTCAGGTTGTGCAGGCTGGCTGCCTTGATGTCGTAGTTGCTGATGTTGGCCGCCGACGAACCTTACTCCTTTACATTTGCCTGGTCCTCATTTAACCGGAAAACACAGTAGCTGTAGCTGCACATAGACTTTTCCTCTTTCTGTTTCCCCCTCATCCCCCTCCCTAGACTTCTCTGGGCTTTGACGTCATGTGTGCTCCTTTCAGTTGCCATAGCAACCCCATTCCCCAAGCCCTCCGTCCGTCTCCTCTGGTAGGTTCCACAATGGTACAGGCAGCATCACGCTGCACAATGGTTTCCAGGCAGTGAAAGAGGGTGATTCAGCAAGCCACTCTTCTTCTTTTTTCTTTAACCTCCCCTTCACTTTTTATTTTTATGGGGGTGGGTGGTGCCTGCTATATGCTTACCTTTTTCTTTTCTTTTTTCATTTTCACAAATTTCCTTTTTTGTCCTCACCCCTCAATTCCTAGGGGCTTGAGTGAGTTTAAGATTGGGTTTTCTTGGAAATCACCTGTCCGTCGTTAATTTTAAACAATCTCCCTATCTCCAAAGAATCTCTTCCATATTACAGTCTGGAATGTGGTTAATGAAAAACAAGTAGGGAGGATTTCTGGGGCAAACACTGCCGGATCAGGATCGTAGTTCTCAGGCACGGAATGGTAGGTGGCTCTTTGCTCGTTCTGGGTTCTAACCTGTTTTTGGAGGGTGGGGTAATGTCTGTTGATTGCTCTTGATGGGGCGGGAGAGGGAGTATGGAAGAGAGATGGGTGGAAAGCAGGTTAATCAAGTGAACTAGCTTTGAGGCAAGAAGCCACCAGCTTTTCCCTCTGTGCAGAACATCTCTTCCCAGACTTGGGCGTGTTGAAACCTTTCTGTTTGGAGTGAGGGGTAGCAGAGGGAGGGAGGGAGCATTCTTATTGTGACCAGGGGTTTTTAGACCAATGCAGGGCTACAGAAGGGAAGGGAGAGAGAGAGAGAAGCGCGCACACACACACACACACACACGCACACACACGCACACGGAGAGAGAGAGAGAAAAAGAAAAAAAAACCACCAAACAGCTGTGCTTGTTAGAAGTGCTGACCTTAGTCCCATATCTGAAAAATGTGATGGGTTCCATAAAACATTAAAAATAATGTCTTTTAGTATGTATTTATGTCTACTTTTGTGAGAAGTATAACTTAAATATTTTAAGATGTATTTTACTAAGGAATAGTATTTATATATATAGTAGGTGTAAAACTATTGGCGTTACTCTTGCAGAGCAACTCCAGGCTAAATCTGAGCTGGGGAGAGGACACAGAACAGGGGTCAGGTTAGAGATAAGAGGAAACATCGGCACTGCAGTCAAATAGGTAACGGGTCCCTTTAAGAAAGTGATCTCCTAGTCACAGCAGGCAGCTTTCTTTTTTCATGGCAAGGTTCCCAGGTATTCTGTGCTGGGATACTGTGTCCCCTACAAATGTCAGAGCTCTTTTGAAAAAAAAAAATCAGAAATAAGTATAGCAGTATATTTATTAGGATCTACGTGTTTGTGTCTTCAACAAAATAAATGTAATTTACTGGAAAATCTGTAAGTAAATCAGGCTACAGATATTACAAGAAAACTATCTATCCATGTATTTTTCTCACCCTCCCCCCACATTTAAATCTAGAGACCTAGTCTCTGCTTTTTCTCCCTTAAACAGATAATTTCCCAATGTACTGCAATTTAGCCACAGAAAAAGAATGGCTTATCCCACAGCAGTAGGCTCTGAAGCCATCACAAGGTTGTTTACATGGGCTGCCTTTGGTGCAGAGCCTGACAGTGTCTGTATAGCAGCTCTGCCTGCTTCTGGCCATGTTGATGATAACTTTTATGAACAAACTGCAAGGGAGCAGGCTAAGTCATATGGGACAGGCCACAGTTCAGGTGGAAGGAAAATGAGTGTAAATGCACCAGGCATTGCCAGTACAACATCCGATATCTCCTTCTATCCCTAATCTGTTAGTTGTCAGACCCTGGAAGATCTCACAGAATGCTTATCAACATATTTAAAATGGTTGCAGTCAGGAACATTTCTCTCAGAGAAGCTTCTGTGAATTTTCTACTTTAGGTGAGCATATATGTTATGAATATATAACAAATAAATATATAAATATATCACAAGCTTCTGACTCCACTTCAGAACCATTAGATTTTAGGGGTTGGATGCTTTGGATGTAGCAGTTTGGCTGCCTCTGGTATGTATGCCCCTCTCTACCTTGATCACACTCTTAAAATTGACATAAAGTATTGGATTAGCTTATTTTATTATGTAGAGCAAGCTGGGTTTTCTCTCCCCTACAATGGGACTAGAAAATCAGATGACAAAGGTGGTGTGACCTTAAATATCAAAGAGTCTTCATGTTTCCTCATATGCATGTCATTCCTCTGCTGTTGCCAAGTGTCTTTAATTTGAGGGGCTCCTGTTCTTAAAAAATCCTCACAGTTTCAGTAAAAAGATTCTGGATCATGAGGCAGTAAGAAATTACATGTAGAGTGGGAAAATCAGCTGCCTCCAGCTTCCTTCCTGCTCGCCCCAGAACAGCATCTGCTGTTGAGAGGAGTGTGTTTGCCATGCTGGAAGGGGATGTTTATGAACAGATCCCAGAGGGGCTGAGTGTGTTTTTGCTGTCATTGTCTGGTATGTCTGCAGCTATTAGTATTTAATGGTCTCATAGTGCATGGTCTATATATTTTAAGGTTAGAATGAACTGAGAATTTGTCAATGCTATAAAATGTAAATATTTTAAATTTATAGGAAAATTAATAAGATTTTCCTTCTTAGTATATCCTACAGGAATATCATAAGCAAAACAAATTTGCCCAACCTAAGTAATCTAAAAAAAACCTCCCATGTTTAAAGGCATAAATATATTTTTAAGGTTTTATTGTGGTTTCATGTAAATGAATCTGTTTCTTTGGATGTAAGCCTAGTTATAAATTCTTTTTATACTGATACTAAAAGCTAAAGACAAATTGGATGTTTACTTGTTTGTGAAATGTGGGGACAGATGTTCTCTCTTCATGCTCTAGTTCTGGCCTCAGGTCACATTTGTAGCCAAAGGACTTTCAGTGGAATTGTTGCGTTCACATCGAGTGATTGCTTGGTTTCTTATCAGAATAAAGGACTGGGAGCAAGAGAGACTGCCTTCAGTTAGAATGAGAAGCAAACACATTGTTGTCTTAAATTCTTTCTTCATTGCCCTTTCTATTTCCTCTTACAGTCTCTTTTAAGCTTTTGGTTGGACATTGCAACAATCATGCAGAAAGAGGCACGGAAGTGTCCAGTAGTGACAAGAATGGAGTACAATGCTCTATTTGCTGCAGGACTGCTGAGTGCCTTCCTCCTACCACACATGCATCTATTATTACACCTTCTTCTGAGGACCAAGGACTTGTGGAAAAAGTTGGGCCTGTAGACTAGTTGGGGAGACGCTTACTGGTAAAGGAGAGCAGAGTACATTTGCTTCTTTGGCATATTGGATGTATTTATTGCATTACATAAGTCTGAGATGAGACACTGTACTGCTGATTCAGATAAAAAGATCATGCTGCATATTGATTGTTTAAAAAATGTAACTTAGAATTCGAGCCCATCTTTTCACAAATTCACCTACACGTACGTGTTTGCGTAGCGAAATTGTAAGGTTTTGACTCAAGGTTTTTCAGTTTGAGTACATTTTATCCTCATGAGCCAGTCAAGGCAGAGAAGGGGAAAATACAAAAACTGTGTTTTAGGTACCTTTTGTTTTCTGTATTTAATAGGGTTTATTTCTTATTGTGAATCTTGGTAGAAACTCTTAAGAGGAGATATCAGGTAATATTGAAAATCACTAAATAGAAACATTTTAGGTTTAAAAAGTAGACCTCACACATATATTACTTCTAGTAAATGATTTTCTAGTTTATTTGATGTTTTGGATCCATAACAAGCCACTATGGCTTTCCTTACAGTTCTTATCTCTGGTGACTATGAGATGCAAAACCCTTGAGGCTTATGGAAATAATGCTCGTAGGAATGGAAATTAAAGTTTTCAGTGGAAAAAGAAATGAATACAGTCTCCTGAGAAGCATCCCTAACCACAGCTGCTCTAAAACCCTGCGTGGTGTGCAGGTTTAAGGCAAAGCTTCCCTATAGGGCAATCGGGCAGTTGCAGTGACCTACACAGTAATAAACAGGATTTTCACTACCTTGTGTTTGTACGTGTGTGTGTGTGTGTGTGTGTGTGTGTGTGTGTGTAAAGAAAAACAAAAACAAAAACAGCAGTGACTTTAAAGTTCTAGAAATTCATCTTAGTGACTTGTCTTCATAGAAATAAAACTGACTCCTGTTTGTCTGTGTTAACCTGCCTGGGTACCCTGTGTACTTTCTGAAAATGGATTGCTTAAAGCAATTGTCCTCTTCTTATACATTGGAAATAGGATCTGAAAGCACTGATACTGAAGTGAAGCTCTTAGGTTAGGTCTGTTTATTTGGCAATGTTTATTCGGTGTTTGTAGGTGGAAGCTCCATCACAGCACTTATATAAGATAGTAATTGCCTATTCTTGTATTACCTGTATTCTCTACTAAGGTTTAATCCCCATCAGGGACTGACCTTGTCTATTTGGCACACAATAGGGACACACCAAATATTCACTGAATGAATCTCTCTCATGTACTGAGTTCTCTGCTAAGTGCTGTGGTAGAAAAAAATTGGGAAACTGTAACACAGTTTCTGCCATTTGGGAAGATGAGGCTAAATAACAATAAAGATGGTGTAAAATCGAGGGATCATATTAGTGTTTTGATAATGAGTGCAATAGAAATTCATAGGAGAAAGGAATTCACCTCCTCTGAAGTGGTGGTAGGTGACAATGGGGCCACACTGGGGTGTCGGGGTGAGGTCGTGGGATAGTGAGAGGGTGGTAGTCCTAGGAGTAATTGTAAGCACCTGGGCAGGAAGAGACTCTTAGTTGGGGTAAAGAAGAGGCCTATTTTGGGTATGATCACCATATTTTCCAAACTAGAAATAAAAACTTATGGTTTGACATTGGGTAGAATGTCACATATTCTGAAGAATCTTCTTTAATATAATGTTGGGAAGTAACAGGCTATAATGGTGAAAAAGTAGGTTTGTAACTAGAAGAACATAAATACAGGTCTCTTCAGACTAGCTCCAGCTTAGGTTTACTTTCTTTTGCATACTTCAGAGGTTTTCAAAATTCTCCTCCTTTATTGGTACCTATGTCACCATTGTTCCAATGAAATCTTTTATGAAAAGCAGAATAAGTAAATATATGTAACAGTGGAGCTGTCCCAGTTGATGATGAGTGGGGTGCCTTGTATTAGAAAACCAAATTCATATCACAAGACCAATTATATCAACTGAAATAAGAATTACTAATTTAGTTTATGCTCAGATATTAAAATAGTTGTTCTGGTATTATAACATCAAAGTTCTTGTGCTTGCAATAAATTATGAATGGAGATAACTATCTTGAGATGTTTTCTTTCCTCTGCCTGCACTCACCCACACAGTAACCAGTTGTCTTTGATGTCAGCTTTTTGGTTTTCTAAATACAGGTGAAATTCCCATTTAAATCTTAAAATCAAACTCGTCTGTTTTTCGGCTTTGTTTTCAGGCTAGTGTGAGAAACACCAACGGCAGGCCCATCTCAGATCTTCACTATGGCAACTCATACAAGAAGCTGTTGAATTAGACCCGTTTCCTATAGATGAGAACCCATACAAGCTGTGGTGAGTTGCCAATTTAAAAATATTCCTTAGTATGAAAACTGTGATCTATATAGCCAATTTAAATATTGCATATGGTTTGGTATATGGATCTGGAGAAATACTGCTCCAAATAATTTCAACTACAGAAGTGAAAATCAATAGAACAGAAGTTTAATAGTTGGTGTGGTACTACTAACACCACATACAGTAGTGAAAATTCTTGAGGTGCATGAGTGCAGCATATAACACTGTAATACTACCACCATGGATGATACCTGCAATTAACATTTTCATGTGGCAGAGTAACAGCTGGGTACCATTATTTTTAAGTGACTTTTATTACTTGCAACATTGTACTATATTTTACAGATTCATCTCCTTTAGTAGAAAAATTGGTTCTGAGCTAAATTATGGTTTTCAGTTTCTTTCAGGAAAACACACACACACACAGACGCACAGACACACACACCGTTTAGCTCTTCTGAAATACGAGAAGAGAAATCACAGTTTTATAAAACTCAATTCATGGGCATTTTAACCTACAAATCCTTTTGCTTAACAAAACAATATTAAAAATAGATCCAGTTGCTCTGCCTAGTTGGAATGACTTTAAAAACTTATTAATTTATAAAAATATCAGCACACACAGGTAGAATGTCCTTTTAAATCAAATACTTGCTGCTTCATAGTCACCAAAGTCAATAATCAATAGATTGCAGCAGAGATGAACGAGTTATAATCTGTCAGATAACATCTTTGAGAACTAGAGTATGACTGTGGTGCTTATAAAACTCCAAAAGAAGCTATTTTGAGCTAGTGATCAATATCTTTCTTTCATTTGCCTAGTGGCTTATATAACTCTAGATAGGTAGGCTGCCCTGTGCATAACCTATAATTGTGGAAGACTGATGAAATTAATCCTAGAGTTATTTCATATAGTGATTTTATAAAACAATTCATAAAAAACCATCTGTCTACCATTACATTGAGAAAGTAGATCTAATAGCCATCACTATACTGCACTTAATTAACATGTATTCAATGAGTGTTATAAATAATTATATAAAATTGCCAATAACAAACCATTTTTGACCTAAAATACAATTTTAGGACAATTTTATATGATGGAACCTAATATAGTATGTGTTACTCCCAGTGATGTAGAAAGCATACTATGTTCTTTCCATTCTGAATATTAATTCATTAATCAAACTCTTATTGAGAATCTGTGATTTCCGTAGCATGTTTAGCTTTTGGGGTAGATAAAAGACAGTCCCTGCTTTAAAGGAGCCTTCAGTCTGAAGAGTGTGGTACTTATAATAAAATGTGCTTATTAATGGGGGTAGTTGTGTTCTAAAGAGTGTGGCACTCATAAAGTGCTATTACATGGGTAAGTCTAGAGTGCCAAAGGAAGTGCATCAGAGGAGACTCTAACACAGATGTGGTAGAGATTAGTCAAGGAAGCCTTCCCAGAGGAAGGGATCTTTTAGTGGACTATTAAGCACAGTGAAAGGATAGCCAGAGGAAGGGAGGATGCGGTGCACAGTGGGAACATTTTTTTAACAGACCCGGAAGCCTGAGAGAGCATGATTGTGTGGGGATACTAGGTGTCATTTACTATGCTGAAGCAGAAATGGTAGTGGTAGAGATAAAGTTGAAGAGGGATACAAGACATGTGCCATGAAGGATCTCTTAGACAAAATTAAGGAGTTTGGATTTTGTTTCAAAGTGAAGAGCTTTTGAAAGATTTTAAGTAGGAGTCTGACATAATCAGTTTATTTTTTAATTGTGAAATATACCATACACATAGAAGAGTGTATAAAACAAATACAGGTTAAAGAATAATTATAAATCAAACATAATGTAAATAAATCAAACAACATAAAACAAATCAAACAAATAAATCAAACTTGATGTAATAGACTCCCAGCAAACCCCTATGTGTCCCTTTCGGATCATATACTTTTCCTTCCCCACCAGAGGAAACCGCTAGCTACTATCCCACCTTTTGTCATACACATTACCTTGTTTTTCTTTGTAGGTTTTCCATCTCTCTGTGCATCTCTAGGCTATGAATCTTAGTTCTGCCTATGCTTCAGCTCCATGTATTTGGAATTATAGCATGTATACTCTCAATTGCCTGATTATTTTGCTAACATTGTGAGATTCTTTCATGTTCATGCATGTAGTTTATTCATGTAAATTGTTGTATAGTATTCTACCATATTAATATGCCAATATTTACTTATCTAGTCTATTGTTGTTGAACATTTGGATTAAATATATTTTACTTAATGCTAGTATAAACATAAATATAATATCATTTTTATGTTTATATATATTAGTTCTCATAGATTCTGATATTTACCCTTCTCTAGGATAAATATCAAGGGAAGGAACTGCTGAGTTTTTGGGTATGTGCGCCTTTAATTTTACTAAATAATTCCAAAATATTTTCCCCAATCAGTTGCATCAATTTACATTCCCAGCAGCAGTATATGAGAAATTCTACATCCTCACCAACACTTGATTTACAAGTTCTTAAATTTTGCTAATCAGGGAGATACATAATTGTACTCTTACAAGTATTAATTTGCCTTTTGCTGATTACTAATGAAGAAGAGCATCTTTCCATTTTTTTTTTTTTTGGGTAATTTGATTTTCATCTTTTGTGAAGTACCTGCTCTAATCTTTTTGAGATGTGTCTTTCAAAATGATAACTAACACTTATTGAGTTCCCACTGTGGAATAGTCACTATAGTAAGTACTTTACGAACAGTTCATCTTCCTAGTATCCCTATAATTTAGAGGTAAGGAAACCAAGGTGTAAAGAGGTTAAATCACTTGCTGACAATCACATAGTTAAGGAACAGTGGACTTAGCATTCAAGTCCAAGTCTTTCTGACTCCAGAATTCTTTACCTTCTCAGAGAGAGTTTGCAAGGGGATTTGAATGGAACCGGGGAGAACATTTAAGGTGCTATTGCAGGAATCCAGTTAAAAAAATAAGTGCATAAACCAAAGAATTGCCAGTAGGGCACATGTAACAAACCACTGGAATTGGTAATGAATGTGGTGGGCAAAGAAGAGGAAGGATTTTAAAAGTCTCAAGTTTTAATACCTGTCAGCTAGGTAGATTCAGTATTAGTCATATAATATTGTATGTGTATATACACACACACACACACACATTGTATGACTAGTACTGTAATATATTGTCATCTATTGTACATATATTATACAATACATTTTCATATATGTATTATGTGTACATATATATATATATATATATATATATATAAAATACAGGTATTGTGGTAGATACTAAGAATATATTTTATAAAGTCCAGATATTATAGTAGGTTCTATGAATACATTTTATGAATCTACAAGTCAATGAGACGAATTTAGTTCACAGGCTCATAAATTTTAGGGTTTAAAGCAACGACACTGTTCATTTGGGTCAAATCTTCACATTTTTTTTTAAAGATACAGAAGTAACTGCTAAAAGAGGGTAAGTGGCTTGTCCAAGATCACATGTTACTAAGATCACATGTTACTAAGATTAAGAATAGATACGATGCCTGCAAAAAAATGCAAAGGAATAATAACCACCTGATTTTTAAATTAACAAGTGATGACACAGTTAACCTATTCTATTTCCTAACCATTTCTCAGACCAGTCTGTTTTCATCTAAATCTGTTGTTACTGCCGTAATTTAGATCCTCCTCATCATCTTTAGCAGGTTTATTTAAGTAGCCTAGCATACTATCTTCTTGTCCATTATTCTACCAGTGTAGACACTAGACTTGTTATTTGATTTGCAGTTGTTACCATATAACTGCCCTACTTAAAGAATTTTTGATATACTCTGTCATCCATGTAATAACTTCCCTTTTCCTTAAGACATGCCACACTCCTGGCCGGGCGGGCGGCTCAAGCCTTTGTAATCCCAGCACTTCGGGAGGTCAAGGCTGGTCGATCACCTGAGGTCAGGAGTTTGAGACCAGCCTGGCCAACATGGTGAAACCCTGTCTCTACTAAAAATACAGAAATTGGCCGGGTGTGGTGGCTCAACGCCTGTAATCCCAGTATTTTGGGTGGCCGAGGCAGGCAGATCATGAGGTCAGGAGTTCAAGACCATCCTGGCTAACACAGTGAAAGCCCATCTCTACTAAAAATACAAAAAATTAGCCGGGCATGATGGAGGGCGCCTGTAGTCCCAGCTACTCGGGAGGCTGAGGCAGGAGAATCACTTGAACCTGGAAGGCAGATGTTGCAGTGAACCACGATCGTGCCACTGCACTCCAGCCTGGGCGATAGAGTGAGACTCCATCTCAAGAACAAAACAAAAAAAAAAGAATACAAAAATTATCTCGGCATGGTGGTGGGCACCTGTAATCCTAGCTACTTAGGAGGATGAGGCAGGAGAATCGCTTGAACCTGGGAGGCAGAGGTTGCAGTGAGCCAAGATCGCGCCACTGTACTACAGCCTGTGCGACAGAGTGAGACTGTCTCTCTCTCTCTCTCACATACACACACACACACACACACACACACACACACACACACAATGATATGTCATACTCCCATCCATTCCCAGTTTAGACACTCATGACCTTTTAAATTGCCTGGAAACACCAGTGTGCTTCAGTCTCATCACATATACTCAGGTGTTTTCTACCTCTGTGATTTACTTCATGCTGTTTATACTGCCCGCATTCACTCTGCACAGCCCTTACTTACTCCTTTCCATCCTTTAAGACGTCTGTGACCCTGTGATGGTCTGGGGGCTAGCAGCATGGACATCTCCTGGAGCCTGATAGAAATGCAGCATCTGAGGTCTTACTACTCAGACAGATACACTGATTAAGAATCTGCATTTTCACAAGATTCCTAGGGAATTTAAATACATGTTAAAGTTTGAAAGTACTGTTTAGAATCACTTCAGATTTCTTAAGATTCTATCTCCTCCTGGAAACCTCTCAGGTCCCTTTCATCCAGCATTCAATCATTCTTGG